TTATGGTTAACTTTCATATTTTCTTTTATATATCAACCTCCATGCTTATGTTGACATTTACTTATTTTTTATGTTATTTTATTGTATTGTTCTACCTTTTCTTCTTCTTTTTCTTTCATATTCTCAAATTTCAATTGATTTTTATTTTTTTCAATTTTCATTGTTATTATTATTACTGTTATTATTATTGATATTATCATTTGATTCTTGTGGAGGGGCTGGAGATTGACATGGTTAAGAATAATCTCTGAAAAAGTTTTTTACAGTTTGCATGTATTTTCTACATGTTGACATTTTTTGCGTTTGGATTGAGTATTTATGGTGTTGGCTGATGTAAATGTGATATTGTGAAGTCTGTGAAGGATTGATATTTTTATTGTCATTGGTATAATTTAAAAGAATATGTTTCTATATATTTCTTTTATTTCTCTCTTCCTAATGTTATTGTTGTTGTTATTACTATCATCATCATCATATTTGATATAGTGATAATATTGTAAAGTATGTTATTGAGGGAAGTATTTTAAGTTATGCCTTTTTTCAGTTATCTACAACTTTGAACATGAAAACCTTCAGCAGGCGTTGAGACTCGATGTGGGAGATACTGTGCAGATATTAGAAGAATGCGCTGGTAAGTTTAGTTTGACTTTTATTTTTTATTTTATTATTATTTTTTTTTAGTATTGTTATGCAGACTTCGGCAGGGAACTTTTGTCAGTAATGTGTGATTGTTCAAAAGTAGATGTATGTGAGCTATAAAAAGAATTTTGATGAGCTAGATCTAAAGCTAAATTGATGATGTCATATATTACTTTTGAATTTTCAGTAATGACAACTAAAATTGCTATAAAATGGCTATTTTACTTGTGGCCTCATTTCTTTGGAAAGTCAGTCAATATCTATCATAAGTAAACTAACTACATTAGATGTGTTTATAGATATTTTTTGTTTGCATTTTTTGAGTAATTATTTATTTTTTCTAAATACCATCATGCCTGTTATTATGCATGGAACAGAAACCAAAATTGAAAGAAATGATAGTACTATTTATTACTACATGGATAGATGGGTTAGGTGAGATTAAATACATCTTTTCATAGAAAAAAAATGTCCAGACAATAACTAAATTTTCAGTACTTGAAGGCACTAGTTATAATTGTACTATAATTTGTTGACATTTTCCACCAAGTAGAATACGATATTGGAATATTTACTCCTTGCAGTGCACTAACCTCTATTAAAACAAAATATATTTAACAAGATTTTTTTTCTAAATAATCAGTTATTTTTTTATGAAGCATAATTCTTATATTCAGCTGTTACCCAACCCATCAGGCCATGGATCTATAGCAGATAACCCTAGGACTAAATTAGATAGATTTGTATTGGGAGAAACTCGGAAAATATGAAGATATTGTATCCATTCATTCATTTCAAAGGAAAACTTTTGATGCTGGTAATTTATCTGCTCTGTGTAAATTGAACAGTCTCGTTTCATTACATCATAGTTGCCTTGTCTTTCCAGTTTAATATTAAGTTTCTATTTGAACTTAGGACTTATTTGTTTTCTTTTTAAGTCTTAGTATATAGATTCTTTCTCTAGAATATAAGTCTTTTGTGAATTAATCATTGTAAGGGACTGTTGATGTTGCAGGCTGGTACAGAGGCTTCAACTCAAGAAACAGAAATGTCAAAGGCATATTTCCTGCGCAGTTTATCCATCTCAAGCCATTCAAGATTGATAATGAAGGGTTTGTGGGGTTTATCTGTCTTTCTTATCCAATAATCAAAACAAGATTTTGTATTATCTCAAATATTTTAAAGACTTTTCTGTTTACCTTTCTTAATTTTCAATGTTTTCTTTTTTAGTGTCTATGAAACGGTAACACCTGTGGAAGATCCTGTTGTGCAGGAGGCGGCATCCGTGCTGAGAGAATGGGGGCAAATATGGAAGAAACTTTATGTGGTAAATAATCAAAATTGAGTTTATTATCTGAATGCAGTGGTTCCTAAACTTTTTTCAGTATTGGTACCCCAACTCCTGTAGTCCTTTTATGGTACCTCTTTCTTGATTCCTTACCCCATCCCACATGAATTTATCTGTACATCAGAGTGCATCTTCACTTGTTTCATGAATAAAAGCTGTATGAAGCAAAGTAAACATATGTTGTATTCCTATATGACAAATATAAAGCTTCCATAAAAAATAAGAATATCTTATTGCATCATTTGTTTTATTTCTTGGTACTCCTTGATAAAAGTCTTAACTCTTCTTGGTGCTACAGTACCTAATTTTTCTCATTTCCCTGTAATCAGCAGATGTTACCAAAACTGGATGTGGAAGGGAGCAAACATCATGGATATATTCTTGTTTTTGTATTCCAGGAGCTTGGGACACCAAATGGAGACCAAGAGCTCTGGGATGCTGTCCGGAAAGCCATGATGGATGTGGCTGACTGGAGGAAACAGCTCATCACGGGAACGCTTACCTCAGACCAGATAGCACAACTCAAATTAAAAATAACGCGGAAAATAGACTGGGGGAACAGGTAAGAAACTTCACTTATGATTTAGTATTGAAGTTAACTCCTTGGAAAAATAAGAGGGATAATTTATTACTTGCATGATATCCCATCATATTTGTATTTGCATTTTCTTGTATTTTGATGATATCCTTGCTAAGTACAGTATGTTAGATTTTGTTTTATCAATATGAAAGTGATTCACGTCTCAAATTACTATCAAAATAAAAAGAAACCAAAGAAACCCTACACCATGAAACATCATGGTGTAGGGATTGCATATTCTAGATTGAATGAAAATGTATTTCACCAAGTTATAATATTATGATTATTAATAATCTAATTATTATGACCTACAGGAAGCTGGGACTTGACCTTGTGCCCCGAGTCGATGGGGAGATGGTGGATCCCGATTGTGTTAGTGTGGTAGAGCTTCATCAGGTGGTAAGTAAAGGCTTCTCAAAATCAGCACTTGGATTGGATTCATTGCATAACTCTTGAAATGCTCCTATGTTATGCATACATTTTGAACCAGTGTAAGATAGTTTAAGAAGAAATGAACTTATCATTTTTGTTTTTTTCTCTCTTTAAATGCATGATAAATATTAAGATCATGTGGGCCTTGTATTATTAAATTTCTGATGAGATGCAGTTTGCAATCATAATTGTTTATTTTGCATTAGCAAGGCCATTTTATAGATCTGGTTGAATAGCTAAAATTTATAAATTTGGTATGTGATTTAATACAAAACCATGTTATGCTAAAATTATTATAAAAGAAGTATGCCCTTGAAATATGTAGTTTGGTTTATAAAAAAGTATCCAGTATTCACTAGTCTTCATCATTTTCTCTCCTCCTGAACAGCATGTACAAAGTGCTGAAGCTTCACAAACTCACACTCAGGTAAGCCAAAGATACAGAAATGTAGAAAAGAAAGTCTTTTTGATATTTTCTATTTGACTATCCTTTTGTGACTAAAATCATTCTCTCTCTGATCAATATTCAATTCTGAATTGTTTCATCTTAACACAAGTATAGGTACAGTTTACGTATGTGAATATGCTTATTGCAGTATGCTATTGTGAAGTTGCTTCTATCATGAATTTGCAAGAGGACCTTTAAAAGATTATGATAAGAAATAGAATACATAGAGGACTTACATATATGGGAGTTAGACATCCTCTACAAGCAGTCTTGATCGCAATTCATAATGCCAATTCTGTTTCCTCTCTGTGCTGCTTAATTTGTTAATAAGCTAAATATTAGCTTGTTGCCACTACCTGTAGTATTGTCTTTCAGATTATGTTAACTCACTGACACTGGGGTGGCATGACACATGCCATGTGGCCACTCTTATTTTGATATATTGATTATGTTTACATATAGATGACTTTATAAGTGTTTTGTTGTCAAGGAGTCACTTACTAGTCCTACCTATTGCATCTATTTAATTTATCCTTGATTTAGTAAAGATTTTTTTATTGTTTATTGTCGATAGTACTGGTAATAACAGTATGAGTATTAATAAGATCAGAATATAAAAAAAATCCCTAAAATTCAATGAATAGAAAGATCAGGTGAGGTCACATATGGCCTACTAATGGAATCTAAGGTGACTAAGTAATTGTGGAGCCATCTATGTGTAAACAAACTGGTCCCCCCCCCAAAAAAAAAAAAAAAATACATATATTTTTTTTAAAATTTGCATTGCAGTTTCATGAGAAATGTGGTTTGGAGTATGGTATTAGCAAAGTGCAATTTTTAAAATGTGCAAAGAAAAATGTATCCCAACGCAGATTCAGACGACAGAAGTATATTATATTTTCTGAATGACTTGATGCTTTTATCCAGGGCCTTGGAACACTTGGAAAGAGGAAGGAGAGGAGGAAAATCTTGAGTCATCACTTGTTTTTCTGTATGAGAGATTTCTCATACTACTTAGGAGAAGATGCTGAGGTTTTCTTCTCCTTGTATGATGCACAGAGAGGAAAGATTATAAGGTGAGGCCATAACTTAATTATTATACTAATTTGTATTCTTATTGACTTAAATCATGCTTATCTTGTATGCCACTAAATATCTAAAATGTTTAATAATGTTTATGGAAATTATATGCTAATGCAGTGTATTTCTTCCTTACTTTCCAGTGAAAGATTTCTAGTCAAATTATCAAAAGAAGGATTTTCAAATTATATTGAAAAAATCCATAGTAACTGCACAATATTTACAGTAAGTATGAATCTGTCATAATTGTATTGAACTTGTTCTGATTTTTCCGAATAATTTTGATAGGTATTTGATGTTGCTAAGAAAAAAAAAAGAAAAATTGCAGACCTAATGAATTTGAACATAATACTTTTAGTTTAAGGAATATATTCAGGAAAGTCTTCAAATACTCTAAGAAATATTTATCTTGAATGGTAATAAGTTCAATTAAAGCAAGAGCTACAGTCCCTCAGTCACTCATATCAGTGCCCTTCCCCAGGACCTTGGTAGTGGAGACCTAGCATCAGACTTGTATATTGTTGCACATGTTGTTAGAGTTGGAAGGATGCTGTTCTCAGAGTCAGTGAAGAAGACCTCATCCCACTGTTATCGCAGACCTCATGGTGTTGCTCTGTTCAGATTATCACAGTCTGTTCTCCAAGGCAGTGAGGGAGAGGTGAGTTAGTGGACACAACATCTGTTGATGATATGATTTTTCTTACATGCCTATTTACAAATGTGGTTTTATTTGAAATATTTGCTGTTCATTAGGTATTCCTTTTACAGGTTGAGCTAACAGGAAAACTGTTTACTTCTGATGAGAAGGACTTTTGGCAGCTTCACGAACTGGTTCTTAAGAAGCAGTCAAACAAATATTCTATCCTGTCTAACAATGCCAGTTATGGTCTGTATATCATATTATTATTTGTATTTTATTTGTTAATTGATTATACTAAAACTTTCGACATTTGCATAATGAGAATTGCGTTGTTTAGTGTTGAAGCCCCTCCCAATTCCTTGCTTGTTGTACTGTGGGGGCTTTGGAGATGGAGACTGAGGCACAATGCAGGGAATCACCCTTACCTTGGACTTCAGCCCTCACCTCAACAAATTTAGTTTGGTCTTTTCTTCTCTCCCTTCCCTCTTCTGTATCTTCTTCATCCCCTTCTTCTGTACCATTCCTAAGATGTGAGAGCCATGCTGAAATGATGAAAAGCTGGCTTTGTGTTAGTCATGAACAGCTTCTTGGAGGTATGGGCACGGTATTCCCTTGGTTAATTGCCTATCCCTTACCCTTTACGGGGACCCTGAGGGATAGACCGTTTCTTTTCCCCGTATTATTCAGGCTCACCATGGCCAATAATGAAGATTCTTTACTCATAATAGAGGCACTAAGGCTTACCCCTTCATCAACTAGCTTATCTAAATTTGATTTTGATGTTTTTCTGACTCCTACCCATGTCATTACTCAGCCTTCAGAAAGCACCTCTTCTTCTCTCCCAACATTCTCCTCTCTATCTCCTACTGCACAGTCTTCTTCAATGTCTACCCTCTCTGCCCTAATAACTACTTTTCATCCATATTGTCCTCCCCCCCCCCCCAACCTGAATATAAAATAACTCCATAGGTGTTTCTTTGCAGGTTTGGTTGTGAGTGTGAAGGTGGTGCATGGTGAGTTAGAACAAGCCACCAAGGAAAATCCCCTGCTGCTCAAGAATGTGTGTGTTACTAAGAAACTTGGCTTCTCAGATGTCATTATGCCTGGAGATGTAAGGTAAATAACAGTGGATTTTTATGCCTAGTGTGATTTCGTTATTTTCTTTCATGGTGATAGAAATTAAAGCAATGCTTGTATCTATATTGTTGTGAATTGATGAAATACTATTTTATTTTACAGAAATGACTTATATGTGACCCTAAATAATGGAGACTTTGAGAAGGGAGGGAAGACTGTTGGTAAAAATATTGAAGTTACTGTACTGGCATTAGACTCAGATGGGAAAGCTCTGGAGGTAAGCCATTAGATTATAATCATATTTTTACTATTGCTGTGGTTAGGGAAAACAAAAGATTCTATAGAATAGAAGATAAAATCCTGATTTGGGTACTGGAGTCTGCATAATTTTAAAAATAAGAACAGAAAGAGTTTTCAAGTCTTTCTCTGTGGAAATCATACTCTGAATAAGACTAAAGATGAAAGTCCTATCTACTATAATAAGTATTTGTAATTTATTGATGGACACTGGATAAGTAACTAATGATCACATTGTAGATAATTTCACTAACTGATATTTTTTCCATAGTGTATTTACAGTGGTATGGGACATGATGGAAGCACCGAGTTTTCATCCATGATAATGTATCACAACAATTCTCCTCGTTGGAATGAACGGCTAAAAGTTGCCATCCCTATTGACCAGTTTGCAGGTGCACACCTGAGACTGGAATACAGGCATTGCTCAAGTAAGCTTATTTATACCCATTTAACTGTTTATGAAGGTTTGAGTTATGTAGCTTCGAAAATTTAAGGGCTTATCTTTAATCTTCAGTTATAATTTTATCATCTGCTGTTTTGTAATATGTTGGGTCTGTTTTGATGTAAAATATGCTTAAATATAACTGAATGAGTGTATGAAAATTGTTATTTGTTTATTATATACATTTTTCTCCATCAGTTTTAAATGAAAAATGTGTTGTAGTAATTTACTGGATATGTCAGTTTATGAACTAAAGTCTTATGATTTAATGTATTTTCAGCTCGTGAAAAAAATGAAAAGAAACTCTTTGGCTTTTCATTTGTCCGTCTTATGGATGATGAAGGGGGAACAACATTGCGAGATGGATCCCATGAACTGTGTGTTTATAAATGCGATGAACGCGGGCGTTTAAACAATCCAGTGGAGTACCTTTCCATGCCTTTCCTTGCCAAAGAAGCCGTGGATTGTATCTACTCTTTACCATTCCAGCGATCACCCAAAGAAATAATGGTCA